AGTTTGAGGTTGCTGTGAGCTATGATGAAGCCAGGGCATTCTACCCAGGGTGACAGAGTAACTCTTAAAAAAAACTAAACAAGGCCAGGTGCAGTGGCTTATGCCTTTAATACTAACACTCTGGGAGGCCAAGGCAGGTGGATTGCTTGAGCTCACGAGTTGGAGACCAGCCTGAGCAAAAGCGAGACCCCATCTCTACTAAAAATAGAAAAACTGAGGAAAAAGGATCACTTGAGCCCAAGAGTTGGAGGTTGCTGTGAGCTATGATGCCACGGCACTCTACCTAGGGGAACAGCTTGAGAGTCTACCTTAAAAAAATAAATAAATAAAAAATACATGAAAAAAATAAACAACAACAACAAAAAAAGTATACCATTCTTCCCTGCAACAACAACCTAACAGATAATTTCCTTCTGATGGGCAGACTTCTCACACAAATATATATATTTGTGTGTATATATATATAAAATACATATATATATATATATATATTTTTTTTTTTTTGGCTGGGGCTGGGTTTGAACCTGCGACCTCTGGCATATAGGGCCAGCACCCTAGCCTTCTGAGCTACAGGCACCATCCCAGAGCTATTTTTTTAGTACATTGAATCTACTGAGCTATCAAACATTTTGTTAAATAACTGTACAGAAATAGGGCTATGCTACTGCTCAAGGACTGTAGCCGATGATGCTATCACCATTCCCTTTCACTGAAAGATTTGGGCTATTGAACTACTGTGATCAAAAACTAGTACTCAGGTTATAAAAAGACTATTACACAATACATTTAGAATTAGTCATTATAGAATAAATTTACAGAAATTGATTCATTTTTATATCTAACATATATAATAATAAACATTGTGAACTGTACTTTGTACTTTCATTTCATTCTGCTAGTAATTAATTTTTATTCTATTTTATAGCAGTATAAAGCTCTGACAGATTTTTTTAAAAATGCTCTTTCAGCTACTTGGGTTGAAAAAGATTAAAGCATCCATGTCAACAGTGTCACATCCACAAGTGTTACTTCTAAGTGCTCCTTATCTGTTCAATTACTAGTCTAATTTTTCTTTTTCTCATCACTATTACAGGTTTATCTTTCATCAGTTGTTAGAACTATCAAAGATTTTGTTGCCTGCCAATCCAACTTCCATTTTACCTTGCAAAAGTTTACCCTCTAGAGAATTTCAGTGTATTTAATAATAATAATAATGAATGAATAACAAATACATGTATTTATGCAGGCATGGATGAATAAGTCAAAATTCATAAGCCATTTCGCTCTATATAGCATCTATCACTCCATTTTCCTCAACATCTGTTTTTATCTATTGTTGTCTGTATGTCTTGGCATTTTTGCT